GAAGTAGCAACTCTATGATCATAGGAGGCTGCCACCTCCAACAGACACATGCTATGGAAAAGGAGAACAGATTCCCCACTACTGAAAAACTGAAGGACACAAAGTTGTTGGTGGAACATCCACAGAGGCAAGAATAGAGGAAGAACTGAATGAGCTTATTCTTGGGAAGCAGTATCACCACAAGTGAGATACTTACCACCACATAAGCCACAACATTTCTGACGCTGTGGAAAAGAACCACTGGTCCATACAGAAGTGCACAGAGGAGCTGAGCTCAATTCTAAACTGCCAGATCAACTCATGGATTGACAGACTGTAAGTATTCAGATTTCCATATTAAATTAGTGAAAAATTGTTATTTTTAGACAAAGATGCTGGTATTAAGATAATCTGAATATCTGATACTGAAGCTTTCTATAATATGATGCTTAGCACATGCTTTGAGCTGCATATACCACTTGGAATTCAGACACTGAGCAAAGTCAACATGTGTGAGACTCCTGGAGTCTAAGGACCTAGAGAACACAGTGGCGAGGTAGAAACAAAAACTACACCTGTATATAAACTTTCTAGTTATGTGAGGGCTGTTCAAAGTATGCATTTCATTGCCAGTGGCAAAAACTGAAATAAAAGCTGAAGGTCAGACTTTTGTCATGCTCTCTTATGAGAAATACACTGCAGTAAGTACCAGAACTTACTTGGCTAAAAAATAAGGAATAAAATCAACATGACTGTGCAACATAAAGAATATTGTACCCTTCCTTACACAACTTTAATGCATGGAATCAATCACAGCCAAGATTCTAAGTGAGAAAATTTTATAAAAAAACCCAAGTACTTGCATCTTTTGAACCAGCACTGTCAACAGAAGAAGAAATTTTATCATCTCTCTTGCTTGTACCAGCACAAACATGTGTGGTAAAGCACACTGGTGACCTGGTTAAAACTAGACTGGTTTAAAAAAAAAACAAAACAAAAACCACAGTTGATTTTAACCCACACCAACTCCCCAATCTGTTCTGATATGCAGCCACGCAAACACCTACACTGATAGAAGCGGCTAGAAGAAAACTGCTCCCTTCAACAGCAGTGCTGGCTGAAAGTGTAAATGAGACTTAAGACCTTCTGGTGTTTGCAGATTTTCTTACCAAAGCTAGCAAAGCAAAAGCTAGACTGAAAAACAGATTAGAGGCCAAGTTCAAAATCAGTACGAGACATAAAATAATTTTACATAGACTTTAAAATAAGCTTTTTATAGACTGAAAATTTTGTCCCAGATCACGAGGTATTAGTCTCAAAACTAACTCTGCTATTGGAAAAAAAACCCCAACAATTTAAAGGTCAGTAATAGGTACAAGAAACAAGCTTTAGATTTAGCCTAAAATACATAAAAGCCAGTTGAGGAAATACAACAAAGAACACAGTTGTAGGGAAGTTGGAAAACAAGGCCTTTAAGTTATATGAACAAAATCCACCTTGGAAGCCTCAAGGAGAGGTTCTGAGCTGGTAAGAAAGATCAAGATGGACAATTCTGCAATACTCAAGCAACTTTGTTCCCCAGGTTTTCCTCTAATACTGTTGTGGTTTAACCCCAGCCAGCAACTAAGCACACACAGCTGCTCACTCACTTCCCCTCCACCCAGTGGGATGGGGGAGACAATAGGGGGGGAAGTAAGACTCATGGGTTGAGAAAAGAACAGTTTAACAGGACAGAAAGGAAGAAAATAATGATTATTATTATAACAATAATAATAATAAAAGAAAAACAAGCAACGCACAATGCAATTACTCACCAAATGATGCCCAGTTAGTTCCCAAGCCACAGTGCCCCCAGGCCAACTCCCCCCAGTTTATATACTGGGCATGACATCACATGGTCTGGAATACCCCTTTGGCCAGTTGGGGTCAGCTGCCCTGGCTGTGTCCCCTCCCAACTTCTTGTGCCACTGCAGCCTTCTTGCTGGCTGGGCATGAGAAGCTGAAAAATCCTTGACTTGGTATAAACACTACTTGGCAACAACTGAAAACATCAGTGTGTTACCAACATTCTTCTCATACTAAATCCAAAACATAACAGTATACCAGCTACTAGAAGAAAAAGACAAACCTCTATCTCAGCCAAAACCAGAACAAATACACAAATATTCGAGCAAAAATGCTCCAAATATCTTATTGCCCCTCAAGAATTTGTTCTGTTACCTTAATTTTAAATATCAGCCAACAGTATAACAACTTCCTTCTGAAAGGTTACTAGCCTGTACATTTTCAGACAAGCTTTCCCTTTTTTACTTATTTATTAGAATAAGTACATTCTAGATCAATACCATCCATAAAAATATATTTCATGAGCTTTTATTTTTCTCTTGATCTTATGAAATTAGACTTACTCTAAGAAGATGGAATAAAAGTTACCTATTTTTCAGAGCTATGGATTTAAGACTTCCAAGCAAATAGGCATCATAAATTCAGCACAGTGAATGCATAACAACCTTTCACTTAGCTCTGAGCTACTTCCAATTTAGTTAAGCTACTGAATGCAATTTAAAGGCAGGCTGGGATAGGGGGATGTTCCTTATTAGCTAATCATTTCCATTCATAACACCTTGCCTCAATTAAACATTTTTATACCTTCTCCTTACTCATGCTTTCCTCTAGATAATTCTAACGGTGAGCTCTCTTCTGATCATCTTTTTAATAAAATTGATGATGGAGAATTATGGATCTCTTCTTTTCTTGAGTTTGCAGGTACCTATAAAGAAGGCGAAGAGAGTTTAGAAAATAAACTTCACCAATAAGTGAGTGTAGATATTTGAAAGTTTTCTCACTAAACTTTCTAAGTGGTGACAAGAAGAAATAGTTGAGCAATACCAGCTACTTATACCACCTTTCTTTGTTGGCTAATTTAAATTCTTAAGTAATTAAATTAAATTGTTTACTAACCAGACAGGATTTTACCAGTTATACCAGCATGCAACAAACACAGTGCCACAATTTAAAGGTGACTCTTTTAAGTTTCAGCAAATATTCTAAAAATGGAACATTTAGTAAATTTATTCACACTGGTGCTTGAGAATGTGCCAAATTAGTACAACTAATTTAAAAAACTATATAAAGCCAACACTTAAATGGGTGAACTATCACCTAATATAAATTGCACCCCAACATTTTATTCAGGATGATGAATATCTGATAGTCCCCCCAAAATTTTTCATTGGATAATTCCATAAATTGTGTTTTAGAGTTAGATCCTCCTTCAAAAGTAATGCAAACTCTCTTGCTAACCTAAGCAGTAGGAAAGAATTTTGAATGCGAGCTCAACAAATCTACTGCTCTTTATATTGTGTGCCATGAAGTATTTAAATGACAAATATTAATTAATATAGATTAATATAACAATTAATATAAATATATTAGTAATACAATTAATAATTAAAATACTTTTACTAGGGAAAGAACAAGGTGCATGATCTGATTTATGACTAGTTAAATCAGCGCAAAGACACTACTGGGTACCGAACCACAATCTTAGCAGAAAGCAAAAGTCCCCAAACTCCAGCCATAGTTGGACCTTTGGGACCTTATTATTCAGAATAGTAAAAATCCATTTAGTTACAATGGGATTATTTCTAACGTAAACACATGTTCCTTTTAGCATACTACAGTTTCTCCTCTGAAAGCGAGTATTTAGAGTGGAGACCTCAGAAGGAAGGGTCTGTCTGACTGAGTCATTTGATGTAGAAAAGCTCAAAAGAGTAGAGGTCTGATGCAGTTTTATGGTGGCACCCGCCTCACATAGTTTTATATTATTTGCCACCAGAGACGAGGATTCTTCTCTTGCCTCGAGTGCTCCCTTCCAACATTCCTAATGGCCAGGTTCACACACATGCTAATTCATCATATGCTAATTATCATCACAAAAACAATTATATAGACGGTGACTTAACTGTATATCGAACTGCATTTTCTGTAATAGAGAGTTACAGATCCTTTCATGTTTGTTTCAAGCAGATGCCACGAGTCCAGTGATGTCTAAAGACCTAATCACATTTGAAATTTAGTGCAAGTATAAAATTTAGCTTGGCAACGCCTCAGACTGGATGCGACCTGCGACCGTTTCCTCAGAACAGTATACAGCATAAATAGGGTATGTTGAAAGCCATAAAACCAAGGAAGATGAAATGTGATCTTTGGGAAGACAGATGTAGGGAAGCATAAAATCGTGAGGAAATGAGATACGCTTCAATCTCATGAGCCCTTTTTATACATTTAGTACTCTCATTGAGTTAAGTTTATTATGTAGGACTTGAAAATTAAAACCAAGCCAGGCTCAGCACAAGGGGAGTGTGAGACAATCGCGAGCACAAACGTGATGATGAAACGCTGTGGGCCTTCTGTTTTCATAGCATGGGGGACGTGTGAAGAAGTATAAAACCGCCGACAATTCCTGAGGGAAGCCCCGAATCAGTACAAAATACCGGTAAAAAAAAAAAAGGAAAAAGGAGGAAAAATAATCGAAAAAGGGGCACTGAACTGCGATGACCTAAAAAAATTAGAGTGAAACGGGGGTGGGGGCCGGGGGAAGACTGGAAAACTAAACCCATCCGCTGAATACAACCTCGCTGCCGCCGCTCAGCTTAACGGCCCCCCGGGCTCGGTCCGGCCAGCCCACCTCAGGAGGGACTCAGCCTGAAACGCACCGCAGCCGCTCCCTGACACCTCAACGGGCCTTACCGGCGGGAACGCCCTCTCCCGGGGCTCCGGGACACCGAGAGAGGCCCCGGGCGCGGGTCGTGGCCGCCGCCGCCGCCCGCCCGGAGAGGAGCTCCCTCAGCGGCCGC